TGAGACTGTGTTTCCGGAGCCGGAGAAGTTTTGGCCTGATCGATGGCTTGTGGAACGGGGTGCTGCAGAGAGAAATAGGCTTTTCTTTGCTTTTGCTACGGGTGGGAGGGGGTGTACTGGGAAAAAGTAAGTTGTGTATTTTGTTTTGGGTTGAATGTGTTTAACTGCTAATGGATTTGCGGTTTAGTCTTGCGCTTGTTGAGATGAAGGTGCTTCTTCGGGAGGTGTATTCTCGGTATAGGACTACGATTGCGGGGGATATGACTGCTTCTATGAAGTTGGATGATCAGATTATTTCTTCGAGGCCTAAGGGGCAGAGTTGTAAATTGGTTTTCACTGCTGTTGAATGATAGTCAGTGTAGTGACGTATTGGATAATATCTATTTCCAACAAAGAATGTCAGAAACATCATACAAGACACTCAGTCTCATCTAGATATTAGCATGCTTTAGATGAATACTTGTATATCTTCTAAGCGGCAGACTCCGCCAGATCGGAACTTCTAACCGATGCGGGGCATGAGGGGAAGATAAGAAAAAGCAACATCTCCATCTGAACTAACAGGAATCTCTTCGACATTCCCAATTCGTCTCTATAAGATCTCCCATTGCCGACTGGGCACCAATTACCCCGGCCACATCTAACCTAGTCACACAAATAACATCACCAGCCCAACCCACCTCGTAACCCAATCCAACTCCTAAAGACTCAACACCGTCCTACATCAAGCACACACACCAAACAAAAGCCTCCAACAATGTCCGCTACCAAACCCGCAACATCCGAATGCCGCTTCTCAACGCGGATCTCAATCCGCTGGCTCCCAGACCCGCCCTCGGAAACAACAGATACAATCGTCATGTCCGTCAAAGACTGGTATCTAGATCTACGAATGGAAAAGGAAACAGGCATGATTGACTGGGCGATTGCCGGACAGCGGATTATCGAGAGTCAAGATCCTTGTATGTACATGTATATCGGATATGTTATTCCGATGCAGATATCCAGTCGGGAAAGTATGAGACATATTCTAACCTCCGCGCAGTACGAGTATCCTTTTCCCACGAACTTGACTCTCACGATGCATTTGAAAGTGTCGACTGTGGTACCTTTGTTTCCTTGCCTAATGGCGATGATCTCGAAACGGGTGTTATGCCTCGATCCGATTTACCCGGTGCGCCTGAGTGCGAGTATGAGGAGATCTGGAGGGAATTGCCGTTCAGGAAGGGGCCTGAAGGGGGCAATGGGGGTATTTCTTGGGTTCTTGAGTCTGATAATGGGGATATCTCTGGCTCTGATCGCGAAGGGGAAGTGCAAGTTGTTAAGACTTTCCTTGGGCGCATTTGGGGTACGTATTTGGCGTTACGGCAGACTCAGACTCATGTGCGAATGAGGGATCCATCTGGTGCGCTGGTCGTTAAGAAGTCTGGTGCTGGTGTTACTGCTAGGAGGGAGGAGTGGGAGTCTGTGTGGAAAGAAAAGTATGTTGTTGGGGAGGTTGCTGGGACTTTGCCTTCTATCGTAGATGGGTTTGCTGGCGAGGAGCGTTGGAAGGTAGGGGACAAAGTGGACGTTAACGGGGAAAGGTATATTGTTCGGGCATTTGAGAATTTGGGGCTTTCGATGAAGTTATAATTTGAGTATTTACAGCTTTTACCCAATTACAGTATGCAAGACAGCCTCATTTTAGGTCTTGCAGATCTTCAGATCTTTGGACCAAAGGAATAGAAAGAAAAACAAAAGATGGCGGGGGTATATGTACGCAAAAAAAGTAACATTGGATGATCATCTTTGGATCTGTCACTTTTGTAGAATGGATGATCTCCCTTGCATTCTCGAGCTGCAGCTGAGGTGACACATCCTTAGAAAAATCGACGGATTATCGTTCTTAACTTGCCAAAGAATGTTTTCTCTAAGCCTGCCAAATCCAAAGACAGCATCTGCAAATCCCGGAACTCGTGCAGTCCAATACGCCTGACCCATGGCCGCTGTAAGGAACCTGTGGAGATTTCTCCTTCTCTGGATGATATTCTCACCATGTTATGCATTGGAGGCAAAGGAAAGCCTGACCAAGTGTTTTCAGTCGGTATGAATTCTAACCCTGACAATCCTCGAAACACAACGGCTGAAATGTCCCGATAGCGGCCAGATCTCTGCGCCCCTGTTTTGAACGTGACTCACTATGAAGAGGGCAATGTCACTCCAGGGTATATATTCATTTCTCCGTATCACCTTTCCAATTACAAAGACGGTCCATACATCTACAGTCACACTGGAGTAAGTCATTCATTATCTAGGTATACCGGTCTATCATCATACATTTCACTCACAAATTATACAGGAACTAGTGTGGAATGGCGCAGAGGATAATGACTTCGCGAATAACTTCCATCCCTGTCATATTGCCGGCCATGACAAGCTGTGTATGACAGAGTTGACACATATAGATGGCATCAAATCAACAGGATCGGCTATTGTTCTAGACAGAGATCTACATACGACCGAAGGAAAACGAGACTCGACTGAAATCCAAGCTGGCAGAGATTCTGACATTCATGAATTGAAAATCGTCGAAAACGGAACCGCCGTTTTGACAACATGGATAATGACCAGACCGTGGGATCTTTCACCATACGGCGGACCAGCGAGTGGATTCCTGAGGACGACTGGATTCCAAGAAGTCGACATTGCATCTCAAACAGTCCTCTTTACCTGGGATCCGGCCGATTACATTGATCTCAAGGATTCGAACATGGAATTTGGATGGGGCCTCTATGGCGACGGTCTTACCCCCGAAACAGATTGGGATTTCTTGTATGTATTTTCGAGTCTTGCAGCATTATTCAATGTCCCAGCTAACATCTAATCAGTCACATCAACTCAGCCGACAAAACACAAGATGGGGGTTACTTGATCTCTGGACGGCACACAAGTACTATATACAAGATATCACCCCGAAACGGATCCATCTTGTGGAGACTCGGCGGCAATAACTCGGATTTTACATTCGAGCCCGGCTTGAACTTTAGTTCTCAACACCATGTCCGAGTCCGAGATGAAGATGAAGGAGGCATGACGATATCGTTGTTCAATAACGCGTTTGATAAACATCACCAGACAGCACTTTCATCATCTGGTCTTGTACTGCGCATCGATATGGATGCTATGCATGTCACTCTCATGCATCGATACTCTTCGCCTCGGGGTCTTCTTGTGGATAAAGAAGGCAGTGTACAGCCTTTGGAGAGTGGGAATGTTTTTATTTCTTGGGGAGCTGAACAATCCCTTAGTGAGCATATTTTGGACGGCTCCCGCGTGGTGTTTGAGGCAAAATTGGAAGATCCGACTGGTTATTGGTATCGTGCTTGGAAGGCTAATCTTACCACTGTGCCGACGACTTCTCCGGATGTTTATGCTATGTCTGAGGTTATTGGGGGTCCGACTGTTTGGTTTGTTTCTTGGAATGGGGCGACTGAAGTGCAAGGGTGGAAGGTTTATGCTTCGCGGCAGCAGTGGGGTAGGTATGAGTTTATCGGGCATTTTGAAAAACACGGGTTTGAGACACGGATTGAAAGTGAGGAGTTCTTTGCTTGGACTATCATCGAGGCTGTTGATGGCGCTGGACAGGCACTTCGCAATTCGTCGGTACCAGTTCGTACTTTCACTCGGGGTCGGAATCTACTCAGTGGACAAACAGTTATGAGAGACCAGAATACATCAACCGATAATATACCAACCAACAGCTCATGATCAAGGTGAGAATTTCGGGCACAGTTCTGGGCAGATTTGGCTGTTATTTCGTATCTGATAGGCCAATATGAAGACAAATCTATCAACTCAGCATAAGAAATCAAGTAGCCACAATCCATTATAAATCTATCAAACAACCAGCAATTCCAACCAAGACAGAAAAAGACAAACAAGAACAAGAAACAATGAGTTATATATACCTCCGTACCCGACCAATCAAACACCCAACAAACAAACCAAACACACAAAAACAGAAAGCGGTAAACCCCCCTCCCCACTCTCCAAACCTATAAATATTCTTGAGTCACAAAAACTTCCTTCCCTCCCCAAGCGCCATCCCCACCAATGCTGCGTTTCTTTGCTACACACGACGGAGCTTCGCGCCCGTCCTCGGGACGTCCTGGGTCCAGCCCAGGCCGCCCGAGACCCCTTGCAAATGAGAAATTCGGAGGAATCTTCAAAACCCAAACCCGCGCCGTCGTTCTTCATTGCGCGTCGGCGCCGGTCCTGCCCGCGAGGGCCTGGTGTGATCCTAGAGCGACCTAGATCACTTTTACCACACCTGCACTTGGCATCAGAAACATCGGGGGGATGGAAAAGAGGCCTTGCGGTCTCCTTTCTTGAGCCCCATGGGAGAGTCGGTGCGGAGATTGTGTGTGATGACACTTTAGTGCAATACGCAGCATACCTTGCTCTGCTTTCTTCCATTGGAGGGGAGTGGATGGTATCATTCGATTCCGATCATTCTGGTGGGGATGGCGCTTCACTTTTTTTTTCTCAGGTCAGTTTTTTACGATGCTCCCCTTGTTCCCGGGGAGTGCTGGAAAGAGTTTTTTTTTGGCGACCTTGCTGATTTGTGGGGTTGTTGCCCATGTTCCTTGAGGTTTTTAGGGGTTCCCTTTTGACACTGGGCTTTGGTCGCTAGTGGTGGGTGGATTGGATTAAGAGGCATTGGGGTTAGATACTAGTGAAATACATTTTATATGCCTGCCGAGTTATCTTGTAATATCCTCTGTGCCGTTTCTATTATTTTAGAATATGTGAAAGTACTCTGAAGTGGACGTGAATGTTTTGAAAAGGTTGGCGATGTCGAAACCTCGACCGCTGAATTGTGAATTATCGTGAAAGTCTTGGTATCCCCCCATTGTCTGGGATGCAGTGAAAGAACTATCCTCACTCTGTTCTCTCCATTATCATAGAGTTTCATTTTAGCATATCCCATATCCCTCCATGAACCTCGGATGGTTTGTTTACTCTTCGTCACCGATCTGTGTTGACACCCCGCGTTAGCTGGATTACCTATGAGACACTGAAATACAAAACTTACCTTGGGAGCCAGGTAGAACCGCAGGTGGCCACTGCCGAGACCGTACTCGACAAGGAGCGGCACCTCCTGGGACAGGTGCAGCACCACAGACGAGGACAGGTTGGAGGCCTTGCAGAAGTTGACGAGGTACTTGAGGGAGAAGGTCAGGGCGACGGGTTCGGAGAGGGAAATGGCGACATTCTGCTCGGGCTTGTCCACATTGGTGTGCTGGCGGATGGTGACGGAGCCGTTACCGATGTCACCCTGGCAGGAGAACTTGACACCCTCCTTGCTGGCCTCAATCACGACTGCGGGGGCTTGGTTAGCTAAAGGTCTTTTTCTCTGCCAGCCTGACTTGGCAATTTTTTTCTCGAGTGATATATAACGCACCTGACTCAGAGAGCGCGTTGAGATCTCTGCAAATGCGCTGGAACTCGGCAGAGGGCATCTCGACAGTAGCAGCGTACTCGGTCTCGGGGATGGCCAGGTGCTCCTGGTCAATGTCCATAAGCTTGATATCGTACTCGCTGAGGCGGTCGGTCTCGGCGCTCTCGAACATCAGGTTAACGGCATCGGGCGAGTCCTCGGCCTTGAGGGTGAGGATGTCTTCGTTCTGGGCGGCGCGGAGGACCTTGGTCAGGGAGAGCAGGTTGATGCCGAGGGCGATGTTACGGTCGCAACGGTAGGGGGAGAAGCCCTCAGCGCGGAGAAGCATGGAGACCAGGGCAACGTGGGAGTTGTCCATGGCCTGGAGAGCGATGCCGGAGTCATTGCAGTCGAAGTTGCAGTCCTGGACGAGGTCCTTGATGGCGTCGACGACCTGGCCGCAACAGTCAGTATTTTGTTCGTCGTGGGTTTGGGGACACCATATCACATACGCGCTTCAGAAGGCTGGCCTGTTCCAAACGAGCTTCCAACACTAGAAGGAGGTCAATTGATCTGTTTTTCGCACAAAAGAATCTCTTTGATTTTGAAGCTGGCGGACTTACTCTTGTCGGTATTTGTGTGTTTTAAGGGTCGTAAAAGGAAAATGTGAGGGTATTTCTGAACGTAAAAAGGATGTTAGAGGGGATGGGGGCGAAGACAGTGGAAGGGTATGTATTTGGGTGAAGGTGAAAGAGGCAGCAGTCTAATATAAGGATCGCGTTCGGGGGTGGGGAAGAAACGCGGTCAGTCGCGTTTGGCGATATGTCCCTTTTGGGTAAAGTTTGATGCCTCAGGTGGCAAGAAGGCAAGGCATCCCTCCATTTTATACATCCCTATAGGGGCGACCCTAGACAATTTCTACTTTCACTGTAAAGAAATAAGAATGTTTACACAAGTACCTGCTGTAATATACAAATAGTCATCTGATGCTTGTCAATGCTGACATGCAAAGAACAAAACTCCATCGCCAGAATCACTGTACAGACAGAATAATAGCTAGTAATCACACAAAAGAAACAAGAAAGAAAAGATCAGTAAAGAGCTAATCGCAAAAGAAAACCCAATAAAACTCCGCTGTCGCCGGTCCCGTCTATATATGTTGTGGGTATCAATTTGTGACTTCCAGCTGCTAGCGCTGGTTGTGGTCAAACCTGCCGAATGGAGTGAAAGAAAGTAGAAGGTCCTGTCAAAGGAATCAAGCAAACGATAGAGATCACAGCCTTGTCTAGATGCTGGTTACCCTTTTGGAAGAGTTGTTCCCTGGTCGTTGCTTGATCACCATTTCCAGCTCCTTAAGCATATTAGTATTTGCATCGACCTTTTCCCGAGCAGTCGCCTGTCTGGCACGGTCTTCTCGTACACGTGCAAGACGCTCATCTCGGGTCAAGGACACACGCTTGTTTCTTGATGCAGGAAGGACAACGGCTTCAAAAATCTCCTCGTCATCATAGGTTTGGGTCAGGTCCGGCCGGCCCTCGCCATTCAACGCTTTGAGGGCATCGGTTGGGCTGCCCTCGACTGCCGTGGAACCTCCCAGGCTAGGAGTGGGAGACATGGGCATCAACAACGTACTTGGTGGCCGCGAGCGGCCCAGAGTACTAAGTCGGTCTTGATTGACCAGTGCAGCCTTGCCGGATTCCCACTCCTGAAGAAGGGCTCTCAGGTCGCTGCCAACCGAGTCGTATTGTGCAAGGAGAGCAGCTTCATAGTCAGCAGAGTCTGGCCGCTCAAGGCTGGCGTGTGACTCCTCGCTGACAATGTGCATTTTGGCATGCAAGGCACGGACCCCTTGAGACAAGGAACTGAATCGTCGAATTTGGGCCCGTAGATGATCCTTACTTGGCGACGCGGAGGCGGATGGCAATGGCGATGGAGGAATATTGTCACCTGGGAGAGTTAGCTAGCTTCAAGTCATTACTGGAGTTTGATACACACGATCTTCCTCATTCAGGATAGCAGTCATCTTTAACATGCTGTCTCCAGTCACTGCCGCGAGCTCACGCATCTCTTCAACAGCTGAACTCCATCTCGCTATGTCGGAGCCTCCACCATCGGCACTAAGAGCCAACAAACAACATAAAACGCTCTTCCGCACACTGTAGAGTTTCCCAAATAGATCCCTGAGGGCGCGCAGCGAGTATTGGTCATCATTTGTTCGATGCGATAGGGACGATTCAATTGCCCCAAGTTCCTCCAGTCCAATGTCATAAATGTCGTAATATTTGGCGAGGTCGGCCTCGTCAGTAAGCGGACGAAGAGTGTTCTCAGATCGAACGTATCGCTCGAGCATTGAGTAAAAGCACTCTGAAACCGTTCTGCGCAGTCTCAAGCATCGGCGCGTTTGTACTTGATCCTCGAGTCGACTGATAGGGGGCAGGGGTGTGCTTCTATAGATCTGGTTAGTTTTTGTAGTGGTCCACATATAGTTGACAGCCTTACATCCGATAGCCCCGGGAAACAAGTTCAACCTCCTGTATGAAAACAACAGAGGCCGAGGCCGCTGAATCAAAGCCCTGCGCATTTCCAATAAATGTGCCAGCTGCGTCTACAGCTTGGTGACGGAGGTATTTCAACCATTGCCGTTTCGCAAAGGCGTAGAACAAGACACCAAGAACCGGAACAAGGATCAGGAGCACTCCAACCTTTTTAGGATTTAGTCCCGACCCTGTCCTCGAACGACTCCAATGTAATAACCAAGCAATAGAGAAAGACGTGCAGGCCGTGACAATGGCACCTTGTATACCGAATGTTGTAGATAATGAAGGGAGGGCCGTGGGTTGTGTTGCTGAGAGGACATCGGAGGCGGAGGTGTAGGAGGGGGCGCTGTGCTCGTTCAGTAGCTGCGATGCGACAATCACGTAACCAAATTGTTCCAAAAATCGTTCGTTGTCGCTGCGCGGTAGTCGGACGTTCAAGGCAGACTAGAAATGAGGGGTTTGTGAGCGTGGCGGAAGTAACCCAAACTGGAGAGGGGACATACCGAGCAAGCATCATACAGTTTACCGGCAAATTCGCTCTGCGGTGTACATCTGAGATCGAGGGGCTTCGGAAGCTTGTTGCGAACGCGGGTCTGGAATTTGGAAGCCCCTCGAGGGGCAAAGTTCAAAGCAGTGGTACGATCATCATCGCTCTGGTTCTCCTCCACCGGCCAACTCTCCTCGTGTCCACCTTCGCCTGGCGCGGATGTCAGTGGGTTTGCATTCCATAATTTGGGTGAGTTTGACGAACCTTCGAGGTAGTCGGCCAAGGGCGAGTTCTCATAAACGAGTGATTCCATGTTGAGGGATCATGCCGTGGGGAAAGGAGAGCGGAGAAAGCGAAACGGTAACGTGAAACGGTAAGGCAGGCGCTTATAAAAAGGCCATACCGTAGAAAAGACGCCTGGCACACAAGATCTCGAGAACTGTGTCAGAAGGCAATGACTAGGGCCACGTTGAAGCATGTCCGGGGAAAGGAGGTCGCGGTCACGAGAGGCTAATTTAGGCCAGACCCACCTGCCTGTTCCTGGTGATTTCACCACATGTAAGGGCGTTGACGTGGGAGATTAAGCAGGATATATCATATGCATAACTAGATCTATTCCTTACATCTACAAGTTGTAAACTACTCATGCCGATAGGGCTCGCGTGCCGCAGTATGCAAGCTATCCGTGGATTTTATGCCCACCCTTAGTCAGAAACATGCAAACATAACTAAGGGATCTGCATTATTCTAGAAGGGCGATCATGTTCTTTTGTTCTTTGTTCTTTTGTCTATTTTGTTCTATTTTGCTTTCTGTCGAATGTATATGAGTATAGGAAAATCCTTATCGCCAGCTGAAACCAGCATTCAAGCGTATAGTTCTAGGCAGAAATCACCAGAATCACAAGCTATCCCTGTGCATAGATAGTAGTTGGTAATCAACCCCGCTCGCCAAAACGGCACCCCTTATTGGTCAGTATATAAAAACCACCGGTGTGCGTTAGCCTTCCTTCATTGAGGAAACCTTGGATTGTGGCACTGTGTGGCACCTATTAGATCTGAGGTCCAACACAGTATTCATTTAGTGGGCTCGGAGAATTGTGAAATAGTTCGGAGAAAATAAGTTGAGGTAACAAGTCTCCAAGTCTGACTATCGCCCCTATATCTGATTGACACTCCCAATGTTTCAGGACTATACGCCAAGGGTCAGCCCCAATATGTCAACCAAAAGCACCCAGTCAGGATGGGGTGACTATCTAGCTGCTAGAAACGCCGGACTACCGTGTCTTCCGGCGGTTACGCAACTCAGCCCAGAGGTTGTGCGAATCATGGGCGGAAACCCTGGCGACATGCAACTACAAGGAACCAACACATATCTGGTTGGAAAAGGCCGGGACAGAATCTTAGTAGACACGGGTGAGGTTTGTGAAATTGCCAGCCAAGCTATTGATTAATAGGCAGTTTAAGTTAACCTTGACTGACAGGGCTGTCCAATATGGCTCAAAACCCTGGTCGAATACCTTGACAAAAACCAGCTGAAGATATCCCATGTACTGCTGACGCACTGGCATCCCGATCATGTCGGCGGTGTTCCGGCGTTACTTGCTAAGTACCCTGAGCTTACCACGGCTGTCTACAAGGCAACCCCTGATCGGGGCCAGAACCCAATCAACGACGGTCAGACATTCGTGACTGAAGGAGCCACGCTGCAAGCTTTATTCACACCTGGGCATAGCAAAGACCACATGTGTTTTGTCATGGAGGAGAACGGAGCCATGTTCACAGGTGACAATGTCCTGGGTCATGGAACCAGCGTGGCTTTGGAAGACCTAAAAACATACATGGAAAGTCTACGGATTATGACACATGATATGCGCGCCGGGGGCCTTAAAATCGGATATCCTGGACACGGCGCTATGATTGAAGATCTGTCAGCTAGCCTCATGGTTTACACCAGACACTGGGAAATGAGGGAGAAAAGAGTACTCGCTGCATTTGCCGAGGGCAACGGCATGGCAATGTTGACGACGCGAGAGGTCACAGCGAGTATCTACGGGCCGGGGATGGACGCTTTGGCCGGACCGTCCATAATGCATGTTTTATTGAAACTACACGAAGAAGGAACGATTGACTTCACTGTGGTTGGGCAAGAGAAGAAGTGGTTTATGTAGATAGATACTCATGACTTACATAGAATTTCTATAGACTACCTGTTCAAACTTTGCCCACTCTCACGTACCTAGGCCACCCGTGGACGAACTTGCATCAATTGTAATCTGCTGCAACCTCCCCCGCAAAGAACTAGCCAGCGAGGTGAGAATACCCACCGGTAACTCTGAACCATTGCTGAAGCCATTTGTCCCATTCCCGTGGTTATACCCCTCAATAAACTGCAAAATGACCTTCGCGACTTCAGAAAGTTCCCCCAAAACCAAACAAGCCCCAGTTTCGGATTCAGACCCAATACTGGGAGTATCCCAAGGCGTTATTGGACTCAGTACCACATCACGGGAGTAGTCTCTCCTTAGCATCGCAATTGACACAGTATGGATATCAATGATACTCATACATATAGCAGAAACGAGCATTCCCACTTCAGCCCGCCCGGAGCATGAACATGCTAAAACTGTACATAGGCGGTCGATGGCTGCACCTATGGCTTGTGCCGTTGCGCTGAGGAGAATGTCGTCTGGTGGGTTTGAGCCCCTGAGTTGCGTGGCGGAGACTTCTAGCAATGAAATTAGATCCAAGGCGACCAATACACAGTCTGGATCTGAATTATCATGGCTGTTTGGGGCTTCTAGTGGCGGCCGTGCTGTGCTGGATGTGCCGGGCTGATCGATTGGGCTGATTGAAGGTGAGCTTTCGGGATTCACCTCGACTGGTTTGGAAGATGTGCAAAGGCGGGAGTAGAGCTTAACGCTCTCATCTATGAAACAAGTTGTTGTTGGGGCGTTTTTCCGTCGATGTGATTTTTCGGTGGGATTTTCTTCTGAGATTGACCCTTTTGGTCTATATGGTCGGCCGACCCGTCGTGCTGGGCTATAGAAGCAAGTATACCCTAGCTTGTCGCAACGTGCACAGGAGGGTTTCCCCTTTGTGCAGCGCACCTTAGAGGAAGAGCATCTATCGCAAGAATCTTTAAGCTTCGGGCATGGTGGTACCGGTCTCGATGAGAGTGAAGGCCGAATACGATGGTCGCTCATGTTTTCTGTCCAAGTGGGTATTGCCTGATGCTAGATCCCCGTTAGTTTTGGATTTATTAGAGGGACAAGCTCATTTTCATACTGATCGAATGATTTTAGTCTGTTTCTTCGTGGTTTATCCACTCCCTTCAACGTCAGCGATGGACGGAGATAGACAAAGCCGAGAAGTGATTGGCATGTTCCCGAAAGCTTCTAGCCATTTATTATATATTATTTTATGTCGATTTTAGGGAAAAGCAGGAATCTCATGCAGTAGGAATGAAACCTTGTGTCGAATTCCCGAAATTTCGTGTCGTATCCCCGAAGCCTCACCCCTCTGCATGCTAAATCTCAAATAAGCACTAACTTCTTGGAGATATTCCATGGAGAGACACTCCACCCCACCTTCGGTTAGGGCCGACTGTGAAATTTGATCCTATACGGAGTCTCCGAGGAAAGATCAAAAAGCGCAGATAAAAAGGTCTTGCGTGCTCTACTTGACTTCGTTCAGATTCGTAAGCATCAGGTATAGGCAAGAGATGTGTAATTTGTATCATCCAGAATTGACAAGGGTGGGTCCACAGAAATGAAAATCTCCCGCGATCATACAGTAGAACGCCTGATATTACCTTCAATTGGTGGAATAGCGTTATTTCCATGTATTCGGATCACGCTGGTTTGACATTGTTATGCCATTCTCTGCCCCAAAGGCCTAACTATTGAGGCTCTAGTCTAGATCAGCGAGCCACGGGAAGGGGATTGATGGTTTCCATGGTTGAGAATGGTTATTTTAGCCATACATGGGCACAGAAAACGATCGTAGAATAACAGGGTCAGCAAGTTGAATGCATTAGCGTAAGGTGGCCTACATGAAAACCTCGCAATCTCCTACACGCCCCCACCCTCCAACTTATTTGGCCAGGATGCCATCCTTCGATGTACGTTCTGCTAATCGCCTTTCCCGCCAGAACGAGTACCGACTTAGTCTCCGATTCAATCCCTTTCATTGCTCTGGGTACAATCCTCGGGGCGTGTTCTACGAGGTCTGGTCACACTAACCAGGCTACAACGCAATGGAAGTCCTAGGTCCAAACGATGATCTATGCTTCCACAGGGCGCCAATTTCTTTCCCTACTCCTCCTGAGAATAACGACTGGGATTTAATATTAGCGCAATGTCAAGACTACGATGATAGACCGTCGGTGGAGATATCCGCCAGTGACAGGTTATATGCAGACTCACTATTAGACCAAGATCTTGATCTAAATGTCAATCTCAATCCTGATTTATGCCTGGATCCCTTCTTATCCACATCATCTCTTCCAACTGGCACTGTTTCCGACCTCTGCTCTCTTACAACACAACCAAATTGCAACGGCAATAACTGCTATCGTGAGCCGATTCTAGATTGCTTCACGCTTCCCGCCCATCTCGCCAACCCAACAGCTCCTCAAAGCCTCACAACTCCCCCCTTTGAAGTCCCAGAACCAGAACTGTCTCCATTGACAACACCCCCAAATCCAACCACGCCGGGTCTATGCCTAACCCAAAACCGCCCTCTTTGCATTATCACCGCAACACAATCCCTTCGCTCACTCCATATCCCCCAGATCAACTGCCTATCCCGCCAAAACGGAAGCCATAGTCAAAACGAACACAATTCTCCACGCATGTCTGGCTCAGTCCTGAAATGCAACAAAGATGCAGAAATGGCAGTCTGCAGTATGCTGCAATGCGGATGTGCCCTCCGCCCACAGAACCAGCTAGTACTGGCAATCATATGTTCGCGTCTAATTTCATGGTACCGTGCAATGATCCGCACTTGCTTCTTGAACCGCCGAAGTCAGCCAGAGGAGAACCAACCTAGTGAGAACTTCGCATCACCAGAGAAGGTCGTCCAGCAACCTGTGACAATCGGAGATCATTCAGTCGACGACCAGGCGCTGGGATGGACTATCCAAGCCCAAGTCACGCTGGGTGAGTTGCGGCATATGCAGCGCTTGGTCGAGACTCTCTCCGTTCGTATTCGGGAAACGCCCAATATGCAGCCAAATGGAGATTTGGACTTTGCGGCTGATGCACAGGTCCCGTCGGTTGAACTTCCGGGTACTGCGCATGATCGCATGGTGGC